TTGGACACTGCTGTTTGTGACAACAGTGACGGGTTATTGTAAATTATTGGAATCGGTCACGATATATGGATCATGGAGAATAAACTTAACAAGAAAATCACCCAATGGGCAGAGCAGAATTTCAGACGATATCGATTGTGCAAAAGGTCTTATTTTAGAATCTTTAGACAGTTTGAAATATGTGGGATATACCGAACTGGTTCGCTGGCATTGATATTTATAAGCTGCGAGTTGCCAATGAGATACATGTAAAACTTATGTCCAACTTCAAACAGAAATAGAACGAAGAGAGGCATGGAGACACTATACTAGGAAAGTTTAAATTAGCATAAAAAGAATACATTCAGAAAGTTATAAGTAGTAAGATTTTCACGAGATTTGACGGTACTTTGTTACATAGCATTGGGCTATTGCTCACACACTGTTGTCAATATATGGGAATTATATGCGACTGTCATACAAGTGAGAGGTTTAGCTAGCTATAAAACCATTTTCTACATAAGGAAATGTTTGTACCAAGTCATGAATATGACAATTGTTTTCTATTCATTTGATGTGTTTGAGCGTTTGATTTTGCAATTTGATGAGGGACTTTCCATTTTGAATTTCCTAATTCACCTATACTCTTTTAGAAATGACTCATTGCTATCCTTCATTAAATACAGTACTTCATTTGCCCTTATATCTTAAACATTAAAAAAGTTTTATATCTATTCTAATACAGCTAAACAAAAAAATTTCCTGAACAAGATTGTTGTGCTACCTTAATCCCCACATTTGTTTAATTGTTAAAAGAACGACAAAGAGCGACAACTCTGTATATTATAATGTATTACATGTACAGTTTATTCAGAGGTATACTTAAAACAAACATTTAAGTACGTTTTGTCCATTTCTTAACACATACAGTATTGCATTGTGATTTTTGTCTCGTCTGCAATTGTTGACGCCGTCATCGTCGTCGTCGTCGTCGGTAAGCAATCCTTGTGTCTCGATTGGTCTAGCGACTTTGAATTAATAAACAATGTTGCTGTCCATCAGATTGTGTTTTTCTAAATTTTGTGCCGACAGGCTAGACATATCTCTATGTCAACAGTTTATTTAATTCAATGACCATCACATTCCATTATGGTTTCAGCCGTAAGACATGAATGAAGATCACAATGGATAGTCGTCATCGGATAACATTGGGTACCACAAATTATGCATACTCCGTCTGAAATTTAACCCAACATCTGCGATCTGCGATAGCAACTTTGCAGATTTAAGATTGTTTGGCTAAATTTCCATATTAGATATTAAACAATAATTTATAATATCGGTATCTATACGGTATGGGTTATGTTCAGATGGAGAATATGTAATTTTTGGTGCTGTATAAAAAAGAAGTTGTGGTATAATTGCCAATAATACAAGAGACCGAATGACGTAAAAGTTAGCAACTATAGGTCACAGTATGACCTTCAACAATGCATACCCAACACCGCTATCCCCGTATTACAGAATGTTATCAGATGGAGAATGTATGTCGAAAAGTTGTCACATACCTAAATGTATAAATATATCCATATTTGTCGACCCGAAATATTTTACTGGTAATCTCCATTCTAAGGATTTGTCAATTTCAGCAAATTCAGAAAATTTTGCGCACATATAATATAGCAATTTCAGGAAATAAAATTGAGAATTGAAATGGGGAATGTGTCAAAGAGACAACAACCCGACCAAAGAGCAGAAAACAGCTAAAGGTCACCAATGGGTCTTCAACACAGCGTGAAAATCCTGCACCCGGAGGCGGGCTTCATCTGGCTGTATACAAAAGCAAGTTCTTATTTTTGCAAAACCGATTCGTCCCACTTTTTCGCACTATTAAACAAACATCACATGCGTATTTTGAATATATTTTCTTCAGTGACAATCAAGACCAAATATTGTATTGCTACCAAACAACCTCTTAACTCAGCATACTACCTACTGTAACAGCAACTGAAGGATAACTTTATATTTAAACAAATTTTTCTTTACATTTCTATATTTGAAAATGTCACAGATATCAACATCCCATTACATCGTGGCGGCACTGGCTATTGAGCTTTTGATTCTCTTAGGGAATCGGGATACAACAAATGTTGCACAGACCTAGTTGCGCATATCAGTAAAAAATTATCATATATACTGTATGTTGGAAGATGAAAATATAACACACAGTAATAAAAAAGTCCAACATACATCTTAACGGAATCAACATCTATCTTTTGAAATGCGTACGGGGTTCGAACTCACAACCGCGGCGTTAACAGGCTTATTTGAATAACTAATACAGTTTTTACATGTGTTGTACTGTTACACCACTGTTCCACGTCAGGTGAGGGTTGAGTGCACTAAGACATGTTTAACCCCGACACGTTCTTGTTGGTTACCGTCTGACATATTTATTTTTTGTTCACAAATCAGTCCGTTGGTTTTCCTGTTTGAATTGGTAAATGTTTTGTCATTACGCGGCTTTATAAAGCTTACTTTACGGTATGGGTTATGTTCATTGTTGAAGGCCCGACGTTGAACTATTTAGTTGTCCTTTGTTGGATGGTTGTATCATTGGTAATTATAACACATCAAATGGTTATATCCATATCCGTTTTCGTTCCCTAGCAGTGGAAGTATATTATTTCCACAAAATATATTCTGCAAATCAAAATTAACGAATCGTGCGTAATGACAAGTTATTTTGAGTAGACATTACTATAAACACCACTCCCTCAATATAACTGTAAATAATGCAATAGTAAAAGTGTGGTGGTTTTAAATATAATCATAAAAAGATGAGGTATGATTGACACTTTCCACCAGATACAAAATGACGAAAAACTATATTTCGCCATACGGCCTTCAATAATTAACAAAACCCATATTGCGTAGTAAGCCATAAATGATCTTGACATGAAGAATGTAAGAAGAACAAGTAAAAAACGGCTAGATTAATGTAGATAACAATAAACAAAAAACAAATGATATACAGAAACAAACCACAATCACTGAATTGCAGGCTCTGGACTGAAGACAGATACCTTGAGAATGCGCCAGGGTCTAATCATGTTTACTGGCCCCAACCCTTCCTGTAACATAGGACAGCTAGTGGTGTTACAAAACAAAATCAGAACAAACTATGAAAATCAGTTGAAAAATGCTTGACTAGTCAGATCGACACAAAGCAAAAAAAAAAAACCAAACTTACAAAACAACGAAAGACACAACGTACCAATCTGAGAGCATTTGCAGTTACTGAAAGCTAGTTCAAAGTCAATAAAAAAAAAATTTAATTTTCTATTTTAATTTCTGAAAATTAAACAGATTCAGGAAATTGTCTCTTTTTGGGTTTGTTTTGATGGAACACATTTCAATTTGGTGCTTTTGTACTGACTACATTATTGACAACCATAGCATTTTGTACTGGTTTAGTTGTTGTCTTCTTTAGTAGTAAAGAAGGATATACATGATTTGTTTTGAAGCAATTTGAAAGTGACATGTTTTTAATGTAGATAAAAAAAAAGAACAATGAAAGGGTGAAATATATGACTCATTATATATTTTTTTTTAGTCTGAAACCATCCATGACAGAGGCCATACGAATAGATAAAGGTCCTTCGAATTTTTAATTTCCTGCATGAAGATAATGTTTGTTTCACAGATGGAAATATCATGTAGACAGGTAATATTTTATTGTTTTAAAACTGCTCTAACCAGTTTTGAACATATACATTGTATAACCATATTAAACACAGGAGAAATCCCTAAATCCCAACGAAAAGATATTTTAAATATTCCCTCTATTTAATATGTTTTTACTTCAGTTAATAGTTAAGACAACCTTAAACATTTCAATAGATCAGTATCATCCACTTCAGGAGCATTGTCCGGGGTGATATTTACCACTCAAAATTGCAAGTAGAGTCGTATACTATTAATGATCAATAAAAATAAAAGCTTTGTACATTGTCAACTGACTTAAAAAAAAATAAAACACTTTGGAAGGCAATATAAATTTATTTGAATCACTACTATTTTGGGGTGCATGTTCGATCGTTCCAAAGCAGTGGGAAATCTAGTGACAAAATATTACCTCCCTTGTTAATACTGAAAACTAGATCTTCTCAATGTTTGTCCCATTTTAGCAAGGACGCTATCAATTATTGATACACGGAAAAACGTTCTGGTAAATAGTAGAAATAAAAATCAGTTGAAATAAAAACATAACTTCCACTCAATGTTATGATTTTCCTCCTTAAGTAGCAAACGACGAGTACATTAGGCTACAGAAGCTTGTTGTAAAATTGATTTTAAATGTTCCTATGCCAATAAATTCCTGGAGTAACAACTTCAATTTATTTTTAAACTGTCTGTATACCTCTCTGGAACATGCTAATTATTCGTATATAAATACAGCTAGATCAGAGAAAGTCAGAAAAAAAATTCCAAAAGAATCGATTGGCACTTTTGAAATTAAGTTACTAAGCAAATTCAAACAGATCTCATCTCGATGTAAACATTGAATGTGAATAGATCTAGAAGACCGCAAATACTTGTACAAAACTCGAGACGACCTTTTTTTATATAGTATACAAAATATTTAAAAGATACATGCTTTATTAAAATAGTATTTTTTTACTTTTTTTAACCTGCACAGACAGACTTTAAAATTTTTGTATTCACGAAAAGACAATATTTTTCTATTGAATGTACATCTGACAAGAGCAGACCGGTGTGCTCGATAACTTAGGTGTGTAAAGATAAGCATACTTTGGGAAATTGTAACATGCTAAGGACGTTTTGAACACTATGAAAATTGGTGACCCGAAAGATCTTTAGATTTTGTATGTACATGATTTTTTCCAATTTTTTTAATCAATATGCAGCAAAGATTATCATTTTTTAAATTTCAGTTTCACAAGCTTCTGAAGCAATTATCTCGATAAATACTGAACATGAAACATCGTGTATTTAGCTATTTGCATGAATATTTCTGATAACACAGTTTAACAAAAAAAATCTTTAAAATTTACAATTATTATTTAGAAATAACTGTTGATCAGTATCGTCACTGGCATTGTTTTATTATTGACTTTCTCGACTCTATCATAAAAAGAGTGTGAATTTTCTTTTGGTCTCGTTGACTGGATATCCCTCTGAAGGTAATCTGATATATCAATTAATATAAGTATTTATCATTCATTTTTACATAGACCCCACAATTTCTTTTACATCTTTTCACCTACTAAAGATAACTTTGAAAATTCATTATGCAATGTCAAATATGAGGAGGACCCCAGAAGCGAATACAATATACAGTTTGTTAATATGAAAATAAATTCCGTATGATTCCTTAATTCTATCTTCTGCAGTTGGTAATGTTCTGCTATTTTTACCATCTTCCGATATCATCACGACCGATTGGTTTCTTTTCGAAATCACGTATACCATGCCGTTTTGATTAACAGCTATTCCAGTTGCACCACTTAAAATTGATTCGTTCTTGTATTCCCAAAGTTTGTCTCCCTTTACGCTGTAGCATTTGACCGTTGATCTATTATCAGTAAAGTAAATTTTCTCTCCCGATGTTGTTATATAACTCCAATAATGCGTTATGGTGTTATCTTCCACTATAGTAATTACTTTATTGTTTGACAGTTGTATCCCTATGATCCCTTTTCCTACTTCACAGTATATTAGCTGTCCTTGTCTGTACGTTATACCGCGACATTTGCCTGTTTTGATTGTATTGGTAATTTGTTTGTTTTCTGTGTCTACAATCAGTATTTTGCTGTCATAAAACGTTGTAACAGCTACCGTTTTGTCATCGATGCATGTAACATCAAACGGTTGTAGAGGTGAAACAGATATTTTAGTGTCTAAAGTTCCATCACTATGTACGATAATTAATCCTCCGTCATTTTGCCAGTTCGAAAATATTATCCTTCCGTCAGAGAATACAGATAGGCCTTTTATACACAAGTTGCTTTTTCTTGTTGAAACCTCGAATTCCCCTATCAATGAAGCAGTGATATCATCAATCGATTTACTACGGGGTGATACAGCCGTGAAAATCTGAGCCTGCTTTTCATGACCGACGCCAATGACGATTGACGACTGTCTTTTTTCAATTGTTATTGATCCAAATGCAATAATTTTGGATAATATGTCTGTGACCTTATCGTCTATCTGGCATTTCAAACCCAATTGGCTAAATCCATCATCTTTCGATATGTTTTGTACGTATTTTAACTCCTCAGTGACGTCCTTTTCTAACATTTTACTGCCAATGAAAGCCTGCAGATCGGATCCGTGTTGTTTGACGGACATAAGATTTGTCTTCAAAAGCTCAATGTTTTTCATTTTTGTGGATAACTTATTAAGAAGGGTTTCAATTTTGAGTTTTAGTTGTGTTTCAGTTGAATTCAAATCGTCTATTATGTCTTTCTCTAATTCATCTAAGCGGGAATTTAATTTTTGTCTTGTGTCTTTTATATCATTTAAACTTTTAAAATGCTGTTGTTTTATTTCAACAAGATTAGCTTTCCGGTCCTTTACTACTCTTTCAATGTTTTCCTGAATATCTTTTAGAGATTTCTCCAAGCTGCCAAACAAAGTGGAGGATCTTGATGTCTTAATGGCTTCGTCAATTAGAAACATTCCAGAGCATTCTTTGTGTTTTTCGGATATGCAAATTATACAACAAAGTTTGTCATGACATGGACAAAACATTTGGAATTTCTTTTCGTGCTCTGTACAGTTCTGTTCAATTTTACATATCTCAGCAGGAAGTTTCTTGTAGTCGTCGATAGAAATAATTCCATGTTGCCTCGAGGCTTTTGACACGCCATGATAATTTTTACAGGGCGAACACAAACCTTCATCACATTCAGGGCACCAGTAATCAGCAACATGTGTAACATGCTGAGTATCACAGATCCCACACAGTATAACATCTACATCTGAGGCAGCCATCTGAAATACAGGCGATAAATTCTTTAAAAAAAAATCAAAGAAATTTATGCGAATGACTGTTGAATAAAATCACAATTTTACAATAGTTCAAATCATGGGTCAATAATGTCTAATATTTTTATCTTTAAGGACAAATTGTGATACATTAATATCAATATCGCTTTCATACAAGGTAGAGGTTAAGCTAGCTATAAAACCAGGTTTCATCCACCATTGTCTTCAGGAAATGTCTGTACCAAGTACACAACATGACAGTTTTTTCCAGTCGTTCCGTTGGTTTGTATAGTTACGTGTTTTTGGTTTTGTTAGTTTTTATCGACTTTCTTCCTTAACGTAGAACATGTGTATACAGACATTGTCGGTTGAACAAGTCAAAGAAATAACTAATTAAAATCATTTTCCTTGATTTCAGTAATAAAATTGAGAATGGAAACGGAGAATGTGCCAAAGAAACAACAACCCGACCAAAGAGCAGAAAATAGCCTTTTTATCAATGAGGACATTACTGATATTGAGGTTCATCTCATATATTTGACAAAAATGGCTCCATACCCCACATAACTGACTCTGCGTATGTGTACAGACCATTCCGTGTGAGATAAGTTTTTAACCCTAGCAACACTTAGATATACTAAAGGCAAATACATTTTGTGTTATAGAACGTTGAACTCTTTACTGGATTTTTCGTTCCTGCAGAAGTTATCAAAAATAACCTTTGAGATTTCCCCTCGGTATCAGTTGTATTGTATTTTATTGATTGCTCAAACAATAGAAGAACAATAGATATATATGCAACAGTTGATAATTTAACAGTGTTACTGAATGTGAAAACGAACCGCCTTTAACTTTTATATATTTAGCCGCTGCTAGGCCTTACAATTTTAACAGGTGAACGGGTTTGTCTGTTCTCAGAGTAATTTTAAAAGTGAAAACACATTCATTTGTTTTCCATTGTTATGACGAGGCTTAATACAGACTTCATTCCCTGACTAACGGACACTGCCAGGAAGGGACAAGTTCAAACAGTAAACACAACTTTTACAAAATTATATAAATTACCTGTACGACTGTAGAGACAGGAAGTATTAAGTCCAAAGTTCATTTGTCAACTGATATAAATAGATAAATTGATCAAAATCGGGGACCATTTCAAAATGCTTTTAATCCGTTTGGGTTTATTGTTAAAAAGCTGATCGTTGAAAATGACAACTAATCAGGAAAAATAGGAGTGCACATTAATTGTACAAAAAAAGTATAATAGAAATTCAACTGCAGCCTACAATATTCGTGGCAAGTTTGAAGATTTTTGTTATGCTGCAGCGTATGTTCAAATCGACTTCATATTTTGCAGAATAAAGTAGCTGGTTGGAAGATGCACTGCCTGATATATCAAATGGTGTGTTTATTTAGTGGTAAAAGTGAAAGTTAGTTTAGATTAAAATATGCTTATATCTCAACGTTAAGCAATACGCCAATCATATAAGCATTTAAAATTTTTTATGTGCAATTCTTCATATAATAAATTGGACTGTTTTTATTGACATAATACACAGTTTTAAGCTTAGATGTGTTCACTTATTTTTCGACTTTATATGATCTGACGATAATGAATCAGCAAACATTGTAACTAGCATTTGACGACGGGTTATAAAAAGGCAAATTTTAGAGTAGAGAACCCTGTTCTTTGTTGCTTACATTTGTAGTCTGGTCAGTAGGAAGAAGGACATAGATAGAAGAAATGGCAATAAACGTGTTTCTGTATAAAATAAAGTTCCCTAGTTTAATGTACTTGTTATGAGGCTAAATTGTTGTTTTCACGTGAACGATAACTTTTAGAATTGTTGTTTTTTTGGCTCTTGGTCATTAGCTAGAGATACACATTAAAATAACGTGTTAATGCTTACGGAACTAGAAGCACATTTACAATTATTGCCTCTTAAGTGACCATAAGACCAAATATTTGAAAATCTAAAACCTAATATATACATTGAAGACCTGATATATCTTGTCACGATCAAGCTTAAAGGTAACCGAAGAAGTAATTTCAATTTTAACATTGGCAACTAAAGACAAATTTTTTTTTGGAAATCTGAATTTGATCTAAGACCTTTTACATTAAATGAAAATAACACTTTCAAATTTGTTTACAGCCAAAGAGCTTTTCTGGATTAACCTTCATGAGGAACGCTTCAAACAAAATATCTGAAACCCAATACTTGAATAACGTGAAGAGCTAAATGATCAAAAGGGACTTAAAAAGAACAGCCAAGTCCATGTGTGAAGTCAAATTTGCCTACGGGAGTTGGAACTTTAGTTTCTAAATTTATCAACCGTAAATTTAACATGTTTAAGAAAGGTTTGTTATAAACAATGTCAGTACCGAAACACGGATAACTGAGGTCGTGATACCAACAAATATCAACTAAAAGATATATTACACATATAGAGGTTTTATTTGTACGGTTCAGAGATTATTTCAACTTCCAAACTTCTATTTCTATGTAGCAATATTCAAGAGGCACATGTATATGCAGTATATATATAACAGTTGATACGATATTCCTTAGCTTCTGGTACTAGTTTTCTGTAAGATTCTAGTGAAACTGCTTTCTTTTGCTTTCATAGTCGACTTTAACAAATTTTAAATCTAAACTGTATGCAAAATCGAATTGTCGATTATTTTTTCATTATTTTATCCATGAACGAATAAAACTTCCATCCAGTAAGAAAAGTTGTTTCTTAAAATCTCACGCAATGTTGAACTGATGAACGGTTCCATTTTAAGATACACCATTACTTTTGCGGTACGAATATTAGTTCCATAGGTCTCATTGATTTCATGCTGTTTGGAAGTAGTTTAATGCCTGTTTTCCCTATGATAATGTAAACACGTCTGTTAATACTTGAAATAATACTGGAAAGCAGGTAACCTAAGCTGTCTTGAATTGAGAGCGAACCGTTCAGACTTTATTCTTCTATGTATTCTAATTTTTTTTAAATCTTTTATATATACACGTAAAAGAAGTTTTCATTGTGTGACGTTCCATCAATGTGAATGATAAATAATCTATAATTAATAGTGCAGTCCGTAAAAATAAGTCTCCTATTTGAGTACACAGATGATCCAGTTATACGGGTTTTGAAACCGTCAAATGTCTCATTTAATGAAGTAGCATATCATCAATGAATGTGTTGGTACTTCCATGAAACTTTGAGTCTGTATTCTATGATCGAGGTCAATAAACATTGACGGTGGCCTATTTGCAGTTGTTTAGAAGTTACCTTGGGTAATATGTCTTTGATATATCTAGCATTGTAAACAAAACTGTCTGAATCCTTCCTCTAGTTTATGACATTATTTAACTCATCATTTAAAACATACTAAAAGGAGGAGAAGATACCGCGGGAACAATAAAAGAGTCATGAATTAATGCTCTTCGTGTTTTACTGTCACTTGATCATCTTTGGCTGAAAAGCGGATGGGTGACATGTCTATTCAGTGATGTTTAAGAAGACTTTTTTTAAAAATGCAAAACCTAATAAAAACGTGAAAGAGCTGATATAACCATGAACTTTGTTTTGAGATACATGTAGATCTAAAGGTTTTTTTTTGTGTTCAATTATGCATTTGGTGTTGACGGGAGATCTTTTGTATTCGATGTTTAAGGACGACACAACAACACCAATTTTATCAGGTGTCCCCAGGATCATCTTAAATTATGTAATGAAAATGACATATGTGCAATCTTCTTATTCCTCGTTGTGCTATAAAAATTCAGACAAGTTTGTTTATATTCGGCCCTCTACTGTTCAACTTTCAGATATTTTAGATTTCAATGACAACCACCAATATTGCAAATGTAACCGTAAAAATTGTTAAACCTGTGATATACAAATATCTGATACCCACTTTCAAAGTAATTTGACCACCAAAAGTTTCAATACACACAGTCATGAGGATTTGAATTGCATTGCTTCCAATATTGTGTACGGTATTGAATATACTCTTTGTGGATTGATCTACGTCGAAGAAACTCGACAAAGACTCAATTTTAGAATGAATGATCATCGGTCTAATGTTAATGACCCTAATAACAACAAATTTCTCTATAAACATTTCAATCAGCCTGACCATTCTATTGTTTCAATGAAAGTCCGGATTATAGAGAAAATATATCATTCAACAAATGACCCCATATTGAGTACACCATATCGTTTACAAAGAGAAGTCTTTTGGATAAGAGAGTTGGGAACAGCCATTCCTTATGGATGCGATGACAAAATTGATGGTATAGGTATTTTGTCTAGTCCCAGGTGTAGTACCGTCAATACATTACATTTATTTAATACTTCTGCTCGACGAAATAGAAGTCATGGTCACAGAAAATATATACCACCTGCTGTGCACACCGTGACAATTGATAGTCTGTTAACGTCTGTTCAAAAACCTTTAGAAATTCACCATATCAGAACTAAATCATACTCCATTCCATTGTCTAAACTTTTTTTAATATTTCAAGAGGCCCAAAATACTTCCGTTATTGATTCTGGTTCTGTTTTGTATAGATTAGTTGCAATAGTCATGGACATTGCTAACCATAGACTATTCCAACCCGTATCGACTACATCCAAAAATGAGGAAAAACGTAATTTTTTTAAGGTAGAATTCGCCAATAAAGATTTTGATGCTATTAATATTAGCAATATTTTCCACCAGAAATCTGTACAAAAAACTATACCTGATTACTTCAAAAATAAAGCTACACCTGTAATTTCTTATACTTAAGTCTATTGCATCCAAGATTTTCAACCACAAGAGGGTTTTAGAGGCCTTTAACCTCAAAGATGTGAAATCCAAGCCTCCGGATTGCTCATGTGCATCGTCGCAATACAGTTATAGTCCAGCTGGTCATGTTATTACTGGCGACCTTGACATCGTTACCAATGACCAACTAAGAGAGTTGTTATCCAAGGGACCAAAATATAGAATTCCCTAGCCCATCAACTGGAAAAAAATTTCAGGTTACTGATGGATGCAGTTGAAGACTATGCAAGAAAATGGGTGAAGCGCGAACCAGACGAACCAGAACTGGACACTTTGTCTGAAGGGATCAAAGCTATTCGATCATGCATTCAGAAGCGCATTCAGAAACTACGATGTACTATGAGCACAAGGGTTGCTAACCCTTTCAAGAATCCGGAGGTTGTGGATGCTTTATCCTCTTTGCATGACAAATATGTCGTTGTTCCAGCAGATAAAGCCTCAAATAATAGCGTCTTCGTATGTAAAAACCATTATTTGCAATGTCTCACAACAGAGCTTGGAATAAATAGAACAACTGGTAATCCTTCATATTCTTTAACATCATTTACCAAGGATGAAATTTTACAAAATCACAAATTTGTCCTTCTTTCTTTTTGTATCAACATCAAAGAAAACGAAGAAAATATACCGTCATTATACTGGATACCAAAACTTCACAAAACTCCATATAAAGAACGATACATAGCTGGATCATCAAAATGTTCGACTAAACATCTTTCGAAAGTACTGACTACTATACTTTCTACAGTTAAAGATGGCCTTCAAAAATATTGTGATGAGATATATTCTACCAGTGGTGTTAACCAGATGTGGATTCTCAAAAATTCGAAAGATCTACTGCTTAATCTTCGATCACAATCTTTGCAATTTTGCAGCAACATAAAGACTTTTGATTTTTCTACGCTTTACACTACTATTCCCCATGCTCAGTTGAAAGATCGACTTCACCATCTCATTAAACAGAGCTTATTCTATAAAAATCGGAATCGTAGATACAAATTTCTTGTTTTGGGTTATAATAATTCTTATTTTGTGAAAAATCACACTGAATCTACCAGAAAATATACTGAAGATGATATTATCAAAATGCTGGACTTTTTGATCGACAATATATTTGTTGAGTTTGGAGGATTGATATTTCAACAGACAGTCGGTATTCCAATGGGTACTAATTGTGCACCCCTACTGGCCGATTTGTTTTTGTACTCGTATGAAGCAGAATTTATTCAGAACCTTCTAAAAGACAAAAAGAAAAAACACCTTTCGAAATTCTTTAATTTTACTTTCAGATATA